ATGAACTTTTAGAATGAGTTAAACTCGTATAATAGTTTATTATGTATTATAATAGTATTATTTCGATTTAATCATTTAGCTTACACATTTTATGAATAGAGCACTAAGTGCTAGTATAGTTTTCTCAATTTAGAGTGGAGCGATGAATACATTTTTTTAAGGTTTTTTTTTACTTCAACCCTTTCATAAATAATCAATTCTAATATATATATATATTACGTCACGTATATAATATAGGAAATATTGGAAATATAAATGAGACTGTTTCGTGGTGACATATTCGTCTACGTCCTCATCGATCCACTTATGAGTGCATTGAGGTTAAATTGATACTGCGGCTCAGTGTTTGCTCGTCACTTTTATTCAAATCCAACACCGTGCATAATTTTTTCATTTGATTCTCTATAGTGTGCATTTCCTACTCCTCTATACTCATGCTCCCATTGTATCATCAACCTTGTGTTTAAAGTGGCAGGCCCTGTCAACTCATCGTGTGATTATTGTTATAAATGCATGTAAGCTGTGTTAAATAAAAATAATGTTTCTGACTTTCTCCTATTCAGATAATACATAATAATTAAACGAGWAAAAAATGATATTGGAAGATAACTTACTGACGTACGTAGATAACTGTTAGTTAAACAAATCATGCGTTTAAAATAATATGGTAATTGTATAAAAATATCAGTCATATATATACGTCTTGTATTATTGTGTTTCAAAAGTTATWAATTTCAATGGATTCCAATTTAAATTGAAGTTAATTATATACTATATACAGGGTGATCCATTTAAGTGKGTACACTAATTATCTCGAAAAATATTAACTTTTAGGTTTATGTTTTTCTAAAACTGTTTAATATTTTAATTTTTTCACCTTATATCTATTGATGAAACCAATATCAGCTTTTGATTTTCAAATAGTTTCATATAATTCAAATATTATGAATTAATAAAACCATTTTTTTTTTTTTGAATTTAAGTGTTTACATTTTTGTTTTTCGTTGATTGCTTTGTGAGATACAGCTCCTCAAAGTATTAGTGATTTTTACTATTTTTTCAATAATTGTTAAGATCAGGAGCTTTTGATAAATTCGATATCACTAAATATAAGGTAACAAAATAAATAATAATTAAGATTACTATTGTACTTTGAACCCTTATCGTTTATTAACTTATCGACTAATTATTGGACTAATTGGATTTATTTTGTTACCTTGGATTTAGCGATATCGAATTTACCAATAGCTGGTCTTTACAATAATTGGAAMAATAGTAAAAACCAGTAATACTTTGAGGAGCTGTATCTTATAAACCAATCAACGAAAAATAATAATTTTAAGACGTAAATTCAAGGAAAAATGGTTTTATGAATTCATGATATTTTAATTATATGTTAACATTGAAAATCAAAAGTTTATAGTGATTTCATAAATAAAGGTGAAAAAAATTTTAATATTATACGGTTTTAGAAAAACATAAACCTAAATTTATTTTGACATGTACATAAYTATAAGACACAAAATGTCCAAAAAWTTTACATATTTATTTTGTATRTTAAAATTAACAAATTTTTTTTTCTTTCTTTCTAATTATATAAATTAATCCAACGCTAATGGCCCATAGTTGTCGAAGTGGAAATTCTTTGTAAATTTCAAGACCAATAAAAAAAAACCTAAATTTAAAAAAAAAAAATGAAAAAAGTTAATAGTTTACGAGATAATTAGTGTACTCCCTCAAATGGATCACTCTGTATAGTTAAATTTTATTACATTAACTAAATTGAAACATATATTTTTCTCTATCTTAAATCAATAAGTAATTTTTTTTTCACTGATGTTACAAACAGCAAACATATCTGTTTTATGTATATTTTTATAATTACTAAACTAAATTAAATTGTTAGCAGAAATCATAATTTAATTTAACTACGAAAATTATAAGGCTTACTAAACAATCTACAAAACTTCAAATTTATTATTTAGTCTAAGCACGTACTAATATGATATAGTTTATTGACTATTATTGCTATATTTTTATTAATAGCGAAATATAGAAAATTACCTATATTATTGTTCTATGATTATAATAACATAAAAATGTTGTTTTATAAACATTACGCAAAGTACACTATATACTATATAGGTATTATCCATTTCATGAAATGGATGTCCAAATAATGTATTTTTGTCAAAATTCATGAACTGGACAAATTTCATCATCTTGATATCCAGTTCATGAAAAGAGTGGTTTCACTATGTGAATACGACATACATAAATTTTATCCACAGACCAGAGTCATCAACACATTTATCTTATAAGTAGGGCTGGGATTTTAATGCCCTAAAAAATTTCAAAAAATGCCCTTAAAAAAATGCAAAAATGACTTAAAAAACTCAAAAAATGCATTTAAATTATATTTATTATAGGTTAAAAATTAGAAAATAAATTTAAATTATACTACGACGACGGAGTACTAATTGGTYACAAATTCAGTAATAGTTATCTAAGCCTAGCTATGATAAAATTGTTATCGACGATAACTTGTACCTATGTATGTATGTATGGTGTAATAAAAATAATAATTCATAATAGGTATGATAAAATGGTGATAATTTTCAGGGAAAACCCTAGCTATGATGAAATATATGAATATATGATACTACATATATATAATATATATATACTGTATATATAATTTATTATTCGTACCGTCAGCAGTTTGCCGAAAGTTTTTTGTGAATCGCAACAATTTTCGTTCATTTTATGAAGAAWTTATGAAAAATGCTCTAAAAACCAAGAAAATGCACTAAAAACATAAAAAAATGTCCAAAAATGCATTTAAGAATTAATTTTGTCAAAAAATGTAAAAAAAATAAAAAATAAAAAATACTTTAAAATAATCAGTATCACCCAAAACAMATTTTATACTTACGGATCAACATTTCAAAACATCAGAAAAAAAGATGCCTTTGCATCAAAATCCCAGCCCTACTTATAAGTTATCGTAAAAAATATGAATGGTCTTATATTGCCTTATAATTATTTTCCTTCRTTAAAAATACAGATACCTGATTCATCATATTAATATATTATTATAAACGTATATATTGTTTTAATACATCTTGGTGGAGTGATTTCACAATGATGTGTGTGTTTTTTGTGTCTATCTGTACGTTKCATAGTTGAAATAATGCTTCAATCTTCAATTATGATTGTAGCTTCCGATAGACAATGGGATCTAGTTAAAACTTTTGACTGATCACAATTGAAAATTACTAGTATTTTTCAAAATAATGGTGTTAGATTAAAATAAAATTGTGGAAATTTGYAAAACCAATTTTCGTTATAATCGATTTTCATATTTTCTGCTCAACTCAAAAACAAATAATCGTAGATACCGCTCTGTTCAGAATCATTTTTGTATCCAATAATTTATCAGTTTTTCTCCTCATTAAGTTCAAATTGTACAAATTTGTCCATTAGACAAGATCCATTAAAGTGACTTATTTGATACGAGGTACACTCTACCATTATATAATTGTACAGCATATGGGTTATCTACTTCCCTCCCTTTTGAACATTAAACCCCAACTAAATATAGATACCCCAAGTTGATATTTACAATATAATGAAAAAAAAGGAACAATAAGCAAATTTTACAATACCAAAATATAACATTACAAATATGACGAAAAAAGCCACCCAATGATGGTACTACTTATTTTGAGTATTTATCTGCTAGGTTTCATGCATCCAGTAGACCATGACACCAGTTTATTTTAAGACGTCTAACAGGATTACCAGGAATTGTAGCAACTGCTAGGTTTTTTAGAAGTGGGTAATTGGGTAATTTACTGTGGAAACGCTCATAGTATAGGTTTGCTATATTTTGAACGGATTTCATCTTGAAGTTTTGATGTATGGAGTGGTTAGAGATATAAGGTGGATCATTAAGTAGTTTTCTTAGTGCAATATTTTTAAAGGTTTTTGTTTGGTTGACGTTTGATTTTTTTGCATTACCCCCGACCTGAATATAATATTATCAGATAGGTTTAATTAGAGATTTGTAAATTAATAGTTTAGTTTTATTGTGTTTGTATTTATTGTTATTGCAAATAGTTTTTAACAGACGCAGTTGATGGTTTAAATTAAGTTTTTTAGATTTTAGGTGGAGGGCCCAGGAAAGTCTGCCATCTAGTGTTAATCCTAAATATTTGACTGTAGACAAAGTATGAATTTGAGTATCATGTATAAATACTTCAGGGTAAGGAATAAAACGAAGTATGAATATAGTGTAAATAGATTTTTATAGTTTATTTTTGAATCGTCATTTAGTATACCAGTCTTCCAAAAGGGTTAGGTGATTTTTAAGAATATGTGATGCTATTAGTTATTACCATATTGGAATYGATAGATATTATTGCCTTTTCGTGTTAGGACAGGTAGGCTGATCAGCAGCATAAATATTATATAGAACTGGTGAGAAATACCCTCTTGGGGGAACACTAGATGAAATGTTGGAGATGGTTGAGTGTGCATCACCAACAACTAAATAACTAAAACGAAAACGTCTCATCAAAATGTTGATAAATTACTGTTTTGCATRCTTTTGTAAGACGAAAGTATAAATATAATATATATGCATAGATTTTTTGTCACGAAAGTTATGGTTACCCGATTTGTAGTTTTTATTGATAGTTTAGAGATTTGATATGGGACCAACTCGGGAGAAACTTTTAMTCATACGCGTAAAACAATGATTTTAATTTCCCCGATAACTTTTGAAGAGCGGAGTCGGTATAATTTCCGGTAATCGATTATAAACATGTCATTATCAGCAGGTGTTCGTAGAACCACAGCTCAGATAGTACACGAGAGGTACACTATTATTATCATTATTGACTAGACGRAATCAAACGATCAAGACGGGACTAGATATCATCGTGATATTCTATATTAAACAATATTGATTTGTTTTTAATGCATCGAACACGTACTTTTTTTTTGTTTCTCATCAGATTCGCATCTCTGCTGTCCTGCGCATTTCCTGGAGCGTGTGACCCCCACAGCCGTAACGCCATTCGCATGTACACAACCGTTATGATGACGACGGGTACCAGGTACTGAACAAACAGAAGCGTGATCCTGTAAAATAACATAGTGCGTTCTGGAAGCCGGACGTTGTAGCAGAAAGGTTTCACCAACTTCCGACCGTCTGCAATATTATATGACAAAATAAACTATAATAATATTATTAAAATGTATTTCTATGTTTCAGAACACACACATGGTGATTATTTTTAAAAAGTAAACATTCATTTTCTCAAAAGTTATTCGTGTTTTTTCGCAAAATATTTTTAATTATTCGGTACATGGGTATAGTTTTACTAAATTACTACACGCTGCTTTTATTGGAACTTCAAAAACTACCTAATTAATATATACATATAATATATATTGACATTTTCAGAACAATATTCTACTACAGAATATGAAATTAAAAATATAATATGTTCTACGTAATGTATAAAAATTAATAACTATAGTGATAAAAACAGTAAAAAGTATAGTATTAACTATTATTTAAAAAAAGTTTTCTATTTCTATGAGTGTTAATACTTAACATGAAAATATTCACTATCACTTGCATACCATGTGTGTGTGTGTGTCATATGAGCGAGACTAAAAAAGGATCAAACTTTAATTATATTGTTATACACTGATATTTTTCGATTTTTTCTAAGATGAGCACGGCATGAAGTTAACTTAAAATATTTATATTGCTGTTTTTTCAGTTGATTTATGTAAACACATTTAGTTACAGACTATATTAATTCTTTCTCTTCATTAAATTAACAATTAATATTAAATGTCATTGCGTTTAAAACAATAAATAGATTTTGTTTAAAATATTGCTTTTATCGCGATACTATGTACTGATAAAAACAAAACACTTTTCTTTAAATTTCTACATTTTAAAGGTTCATAACACTGTGTTTATGTRGAAAAAAATTAATCGAGCACTTAATTTGAATGAAATCTCGCCGTTTCAGGTCAACCACGAGCTCATTAAGAATCTCTTTTTTACTAGAATAGTCTGAAATCATTGACTTAAAAATTATAGACAGCCGCATCAATGCAGACTAAAATAATTAGACGCCAACATTGATCAAATATTTGATATTTTTGTATATCATGACGTGTCTTTACTGCTTAGTTTAAAATAATCATAAGGTTATAATATGATGTCCTTATTAGTTATTGATCATGCGTATTTCCTCGAATAGTCTATATAAATTATAACTATATACCAACCAGTGTGTTAGTTTAATTATACTTCATATAAAAAAAATATGTCGGGCCCTGAAAATGTACGGATCAATGTAAATTGTGTTCAGTGCCTGCGTGGCCACATTCTGTGAACAGTAAATGATCATTAGCTTTACGAAGGAATGTGCAACATCTGCATATTATAGGCTACATACGTCATTCAATCTACGAAATGTGTCCATTAAGTGGTATTAGGTGTCGTTTATTCAACCATATTTTTGCTTTTCGTGCCTCTATGGTTTTAATGTTATTATATTTTATAATAGTTGACAATACTAAATGGAGATATTGCAATATTTTCATATTATTTCAATATGAATTGTTTTTTAATATAAAAATAATGATATGTTTTCTAAAAACATTTTTCGATGTAATATAAAATCATAAGATTGATGTTTTTGACATTTGAATCTACTTATCTGTAAATTAAAAGTATCCAATTATATTTTTCTAAAAACATTTTTCGAAAAATTAAGTTTAAATAGGATTCAGAAAATACATCTAWATTATTTTACTTTACCCGAGTCCCCGCTGGCATTATTTTAAAAGAATTCGTTTTAAAAATCAGTATTTCAATTTAAAAAAAAAAATAGCGTATATTTTTAATAACAATGATGGCAAAAATAATCTCAAAGTCATGTATGATATTATATATATATATGTATATAAGTATTTATTATACCGGGCCCCAATTAAAAGGAAGAATATTTATCAAAATATATCTATATTATTACTTATTAATATTCATTTATATRCATTTAAATAAAAGAATATTTATCAAGTCTTTGAATAAAAATTGCTCAAAATAAAGGGTTTGATTATTGTRATTTATTGACAATTATACTGTACTAGATCAATATATTTTAAGTCTATAAATAAAATAATGGTAGTTGATGTAGTATTATTATTGTTTATAACTTTTTAGATCGCTCATCTTAATCCAATTAAGAGCGAGGCGAAAATATTTAACCTTAAGAGATATACAAATACTGAAATACAACTCAATTAAAGATCAAAAATCAGCCTTTATTATTATAGAATAATAAAGATTAATTAATTAAACATCTCGAAGTTTATGAAAAATKAACATGGAAAATGCATATAAATAAAAAATTTAACCAAGCCAATACACGATTGAAAATCGTATACCACCTAATAAATTACAGTTCAACACTTCAGATTATATGCTCACTTCTAATATACACATCAATAATAGTACCATTAATTAAATGTGCAGGCCTATAGTATGGGCAGCCGGATCCCTAACAAAAATTAAAAAATTACAAACGTTACAAAACAAATTTYTCAGAATAACTCTTAAAGCCTCATGGTACATGCGAAACACATAATTTTACAACGATATTGGAATACTATACCTAACCTTATGGATCAACAAATAATTTAAAAAATGTCATTCAAAATTAAAAACAATAGAAGGCACCCTTCACTTAAACATTGGGAAAAGAACCAAAAATCTTAGACTAAAGCCACGGCTACCACAAGATGTTTTATTTAAAGCAGTTGAAGCTCAAGAAGAGGACTATCCAGATTCATAATCAAGCTAAAATATATCCGGAAATTTATCTGTAAACCTTWATTTATTTATTTTATAATATTTTAAAAGCATTGTAAAAATATTTGGTGTATTGAAACAATTATATTAATAAAATAAAAAAAAAATTAGAACCTTGATTATAGTTATTTTTGTAATTTGTTATTAATTCAATATTTTGTAAGACGCGCTGAATTTAAAACTTTAGGAAATTCATTAAAAGACAAATATAAGAGGTTATACTGAATTTTAAATGTTTTAATGATGTATGTGTATTAATAATTATTTTAATTATATTAATATAAACTTTTGGTAAAATAAATAATTGCATTTGACATTCTTAACTAATAATTGTTTTATCATTGAATTATGTGCATGATGGTGATGTCTTTGTTATCCAAATCAAGAATTTACTTGTCGAATAGGATATAGAATATATTTGTTGTTATTTTCATAATTTTAAATTTATCTTAATTTTCTATTTTATTTCTTATTAAAATATATAATTCAATAACACACCTCTTAATCTAAATGCTATAAATGTTATATTATATGTATAGTTTATATGTATTATTAAWGTATAATAATAATATGTTGACTAAACTGATTAACAAAAATGTATCAACGATTTATGTTTTTTGTGTTTGCAATAATTACGTCTGATAGTTTTTATCTTAAAAAATACAAATTATATTGACATCGTATATAATACGGTTAAATAATGAGTCTGCACATYCTGTGACTGTAATTGTAGTCGAAGTGTACTACGTAAACCAAAAACAGTCAGTTTAGAATCGGTTTGAAGAAGTTTGTTAAAGAGAAAGAAATTCTTCGTATAAATAAAATTACCACTGACCTCTATCTCCGTATTCGATAAGTTGCACTCTGAGAGCAATAGCCATTGGTGTCGCGAGCACAAAAGCTATCGTCCAAATGGTGGCTATTGAAATTTTTGCTCGGAATTTCGATGGTATTGCGCTGTTAACAATATACGAAATAATAATAATAATAACAATACTACTACTACTAGTATTAATAATAATAATAATAATGTTAATAAATCATAACAACAACACTGTAATTTAATACACAACAACTAATTATTATTGTGGCCACTGCCCGTTGGTTATTGTTGTGTTTGGTGTACGTTTATTTATTTCACCGAAAGACACAACTCGTACTAACCTGAGCGGACTGAGAATAGCTCTGTGCCGGTCAACTGCGATCGCGGTCAAGGTAAAAATGCTCACGTTAACTGAAAGCACTTGTACGAACGGACAAAATGGACACATTAAAGCTGGTAAATTCCATCGTTGCAACAGGGCSGCCTGAAACTTAATTGTTAAAATAGTGTTTCAGTATCATACAATGATTACCATATTATTATTAAATCGATCATGACCTTATGTATATTTTTAATGCATATGACAACATATACATGTAAAACAGTCTACTGGGAATAAGTGCCCATCACATCGATACTGTGTGTTATATTATTGTTAGTAAATTATATACTACGGAATATGATATATTAAAATCAGAAAAAAATGTAAGGTATAATTAAAATTATATGTTAGCCCCCCCTCCATAAATTCCGGGATGAGAATTATTTAAATGTGTAGATATATTTATCTATACACGTTTTTGTGATGAAAGCTAACGAATATCCAAGATTTTCATAAAAAATAAAACACAAACATATATAAATATTACATATATTATAAATGTATTAAATGATATCACGTCTAGATAAATATAACTAAATTATCATTTAATAATCTCTCGTATCGATTGGTTTATGTTGATTGTTGATGTTGTTGTTGTTGTTGTTTTTTTTTTATCAAAGATGAATGTTTTAGGAAGTTACTCAAATTAAATATTATATTACTGGGCATTTTTTTAGTTACTACAACCACTTTGAAAATGAATATTAATGTTTATATTTTTGYCAARAAATAAAATTTGGAAACAAAATGACACATATAGATTATAAGTTGGTTATAAATTATATCTTATCGTATWGTAAATAAAAAAATTTAACCTAAATTATTTTTGACATAATATTCTAAATTCATTAAAAACGCAATCTTACTAAGAACCTTGTATTAAATTGCTGTAAAAACAAATTATGGTAGGTATAACTATGTGTTAATTTTTCAAAATTTTATTTTATCATTCCAATAACATAAATTTAATTAACATGATAAAAAAAGATATTCCAAAATTCTGAAATTTCAAAGTATAGTATAGATAGCTCATGAATATATTTTAAAACTTTATTATTATCTGTTTATAAAATACTGCAATAAGTATTTAATGAAAATTGTATGTCTCTTCGATTATGACAATATTAAAGTAAGATWGAAGTATTGTATAAATATGTAGGTATTCGTGTTTCCTAACTGTTTTTTTGGTAGTTTTTTCAAATATCAAAGAACAGCTTTAGAAATTTCCATTATTTTTTGGTTGATCAAAATACAAACTAAATAAAATTCTCCATCATAAATCGCTCTCAATATTTAACATTGGATTAATTTTCCAGTTCCAAACGTAATGAAACGAAATCACACCCACATAAAAATAAACAAACAAATACTTTCAGTGAAAAATCATATAGGTACTTTTCGCTTTTTTTAGATTATACAAATTAAAAAAATTAATTAAGAAGATATTGATAATCATTTTTATAAAAATCCTAATTCTAATATTTATTATATGTATATTGAAAATATCTTGCTATGGAATTATTTACATCTTATTGAGATATTTCATATTTTGTTATCTAGGTTCAACAGTAGGCTTGGTGTACATATATTATTCTTATCTCATGTAGGCACCTACTGCTTTAAATTTACAGTGATATATCACAATGTAAATTATAGATAGACAGTGCGAATCATTGTATATTGTTGATACACACACTAATACCAATGATCRTACATCAACAAAATAAGATCAATAATATTACTTACTTGAAATGGTATTGAAAACAAACCGATAACGATATCAGCTAATGCCAAGTTTGCTATGTACAAGTTGGTCACATTATGCATTMGTCTGCTCGACGTCACAATCCATATCACTAGAGCATTGCCCACCACTGCCATTACAGATATCGTTCCATAGAACATTGACAGAAGAAGAATTATGCTTACGGGCACATCATATAATAATGTAGCTATAATGTTATGATAAAAATAAAATATATTATAATAATATTAAGTGCTTTATTTAAAATGGTTTATGTGTTCTTATACTCTTATATTATTATAATGTATTACTTATACTGTATACTGTACTTAATATATTAAATACAAGTATTTCACCTATGAGGACAACAGTACTTCAAATACCAACTTATATTTTCATACAATTTCAGGTGAAGCAGTATCCAGTGATAGTTTAGTTAAGTTAGTATCTTACTTTTGGTCAATTAAAAATAACCCTTTTAGATTGTAAATTGTCAAAAATATGGCTTTTTTTAATTTGTATATAAACACATATATGTATATCAAAATGTTAACGAGTTGTTTTGTTCATTAAATTCATTTCAATTATCAATAATTATATAGACCTATGATATTGGGTTTTGATGATATGGTATCATATGGAAGGSTAATATGGTTTTAAACGAAAATGTTATCAYATTATAATTAATATTTAATATGATAAAATTTTTTAATTTAAAACATATTTCRAGTAGATATATCATGTATTTTTCATAATTAATTTTTGAGGATTATGATCCTAAGTGCTTAAAATTTAGATTTTAATAACTCAGAAACAACTCGTTGAATTTTCTTTAGATCATTAAAATGTTAGTTATATTAACATTTTCAAAAAAAAAAACATATACTTATCAATTGATAAAAAAAAGTTTGTATTCCTATTAAAAAAATAAGTAGTTTGTTTGGTAAAATCATAGGATACTTTAAGAATTATATAAAACGATAAAGTTAGTTGTTTGAAATATTATAGTCTTTAAGTAAACTTAAAATTCTTGATTTCAGAATTTGAATGGAAAAAGGGAGTGTCTGAAGTGTGTCACATGTTTGGTGAATCACGCTGTTTATTAATAACTCTAATAAATAATATCGTCTGGAATTCTTGACGCAACCTAAGCACGTACTAAATTATAAATTTAGATTATCATATTAGTACCCATTGAACCATTCAAATGTTAAACTTTCAATTAATAAGACAACATTAAGGGTTACCTCTCAATTGGACATCATTAAATTCAAAGAGATTAACTACATCAATTAATTTTGTAGCTGATCAGTGGRGTGGTAAATAGGGTTTTTTGATGAAATTGTTTTGTAATAGTGCGCGAATTACTTCAAGTATCAGCTATATTCTACAGTTATAGTATTATAAATTATAATTAAATGCTCAGTGATTACATGTATTATAATATTGAACTATTMAAATCCGCTAAATTTGTTAGTTGAATAACATTTGGTGTATGTACACTATCATAACAGCTAGCACGCTAGATAAAATTATGGAATAAGACATGAATAAAATAAATATTCATTAATATTTGATGGTGATGAATTATAATTATAATTATGTTTGTTACATTTTAGCTGATATTTTTATACTCGGGATTAAACCACAAATTGATAGTTTTTTTCTATTGAACATAAGGATTAAAAAATATGGTCATTATCATTTTGTATAGAGGTTAAAGTTGGTTTAGAAACACAAGGGGGGAGGGGTTTCATTTGGGCGAATGACCCAAAATAACATATCGTTTGGGTGAGCTATATATAATATATATATATAATTTTTTTATTATTAAAAATAGTGAATTTAGAATCTATACAATGGTATAATAAGTAATTAAATATATATTTATAAACATTTTTATAGACTAATAGGTTTTCCTTCCCATTTTTAGGACTCTCAGTTAACTCTAACTGGTATGGTTAAAAATCTATTATTATTATTATGTATTATCATATATATATATATAATATTTGTTATTATTAACTAAATTGTAATTAATAAATGTCACACTTCAGTATCTGATTAGATTAGACATGGGCAAAAAATTAAAACCCAYACGTCTTAGTACAATCTAACAAATTATCATTCACTATCTATATTTGTAAATTTGCGTATAAATACCAATCAGCCGAAACGATATAATAATAATATTTAGCTGTAGTAAATATTAAAAAAATTATTGTAGACGTAAGTATGTTACTTCCCTATTATTCAATAATTTATAAACTCGGCTAAACGATCAGTCAATTTTTCGCCCAAATGATATATGCTTTACTCAGGTAAATTTTGGGTTATTCGCCCAAATGAATGACACCCAACACAAGAGAATAATAGATTGGCCGAGAATTTGACATTGAAAACCAGGGTGGTCACCCATCTGAGTACTAGTGACGCCAGATGACACTTTACCACGATTCGAAATAGTGACTATGACCAACTACCGCACTTTAATAGGATTCATTGTAGTTCATATACGTCACWTAATATTATGGGTATCCACACACTTTTTATTATAGGTACATAACAAAACCGTTCTTGTTTTTAACATCATTAGGTAATTAATTGTTAAACGAATCTAATGTATTTACTAAATGTTTTATGAGAATRTAATATATACTATTAAAATTTTTAAATTATAGAAAAAATACTTTTGTTCATGATAAAAATTATACAGACAATAAAATGTGGGTGCGCAGATCGAGATGAAAGTAAAATTACATATTATTACGCGTGTTAACTGTTAGTGTGAAAAACAAAATTATAAAAGTAGAAACTGTTTTGAAAATAAAAAAAAAAACATTTTTAACCGTTAACACGTACATAATATATTATAAGTTTACCTTTTAAATGTAATATAATAGATATAATAATACCATTCGTTGGTCCGATTAAATCATTTGCAACGCTGAATATGTTTATAACACGATGTTTTAAAAGCACACTGTGATATTTTCTACTTGACGTATAATTTTATAATAGATTTATATTTGTATATWTATTATTGCTGACGCAATAACGTTATAATATTATGTACTGAATTATACGTGTTTAAATAATAATTATATATATTTTTMATTTGAAAAACAGTGCACTATAATTACCTAGAACAGTGGTTCCCAATAAGTGGTCCACRGACCCCCAGGGGTCCACGTGTTGATGTTAGGGGGTCCGTGGTTATGTAGTACTGAAGTGATATTTTTATTTTATTTTAGTAGAATTTTTAAAYATGTATTGGTTTGAAATTCCTGGTATTTTACTCGATCACTATTGAAACTCGATTATCGTTAAAAATGTCGATAATTAATGTATTATATATTATACTGTATATCATATTTTTCATTTTTATTATTAAACAAAATTGAAAAGTAAGTGATCACAAATAAGGGKTCCCCCGTTCAATTTAAGATTTAGCTAGAGGTCCATGGCTCAATACTAATTGGGAACCACTGACCTAGAATACACCCTTGGTATACCTACATGTATTTATTAATGTATTATATGGTATACGTAGCAAGGAGGACTAACTACACGTGCGATATATGTAATACCTTCATCACATTATTATACAGAGGTAGTTATTATTAAAGATATTTGAGTCTTTTTGACTCTCGACCATGAATGTTGTTGTTAGGTAATTTTTTATTATAACATAATAAGGCTATATATGTATAGATATATAATATAATTAGTAATATACGAACACAATATATCAATCTGAGGATATTGAGTGAAAAATACGGTTTTGGATGATATCCTACGATGGCACGAGCGACTACATACCTTATACCTACTATTATGGCTTTGAATTATGATTTGCACGCAACGCGTCGATGAATCACGCCCCCGCTAATAAATAGAAAAAAATTATTATTGTGTTGGCGTTGAATTCGAATGATAGAGATCGGGTTATTTTATTATTATTCACATCCCTCCCTCCATAAAGGTATTATTTTGTCTCAAAAACACGAACCATGCGTCTTTTGATTTAATAACGGTATTGGTACCTGTAACGCGATACTTTACCGGATCGGAGAGCAGTGTCTATGAAAAAACAAAATAAAAAAAGCAGGTAAGTAAGTGGATGTCGCTCTGCAGTACAGTAGATTATAAGTGGGTTACTGTAATGGACGATATTGAGTTTGAATTCAATAATGTAATATCATTGTATACGAAAAACGATTCTGAGTGGATAARGTTTATTAGTTTAGGATATGATATAATATATTAATTACATTGTTATAATTTCAAAAAAAAAACATCATCCGTAATTATTTAATATTATAAAATCGTGAAATCGTGAAATCGTGAAATCGTGAAATCGTACGTTTTTTCTCCTTTAACCGCTTTTATTTCGAGTACCGTTTCGAAAATTCAAAAATCACCTCTTTAAAGTACCAGCTGAAGAACATTACCTTTTAGAAAAGATGTTACACTTTTGAGCAAGTTTAGAGGGAGAAAAAGTGTTTACAAAATAAAAAAGAAAAGAAACAAACATCATTCTAAAACCAATACATTCCTCGCTGCACTCAGAATCTAAAAGTTATGATAACAGCTGTGAGTTCGGAAATTGAACCCCTCTCCTCACCATACTATCGATGAACGTTGATGGGKGGAGGGAGGTGACGCACAATTATCGATTGCTGTTTTCGAATTACAGTCACGTAATTAAGCTCATCTAAATAATATTCTCAAGTCAAGTGTAATATCAAATGAGCAATTATTATTATAATTATATAATATCTAAGTTTATGCATTATATATAAGTAAATTATTGAAATGTTTAATTCTCTATGCAGTGACGGAAGATCTGAACTACGAAATATTTTCAGCGACGGAACTATTTCAGATTATCTTCGGACAGAACTCCCCCAATCTGAACTGCGGCCGATAAGCGATTGCACTATTTAYTTTGGAAGAATGACTTAATAATATAAGTACCTACACAAAATCATGCACCMACCCACAAAATATGTAACACCATCGACAAAGCTTTTATACATTTACATATTGATTTGTATTTTTCTCTTCGTATATTTATTAAATACACCTACTATAGGCATCACGTGTACAAAAGCCTTTTAAGATTTATCTTTGAAACTTTACTCACCTGCTATGCAAATTTATAGTCAATATTTTGATAATTGTTCATATTAMRGTGGTACAATAACTATTATATTATAATTAAATCGCTTATTCAAAAAAATAAAAATAGAAAATGCGAGTTGAATTCATTTTTACAAATTTTCAAACATCCATAATATAACWAAAACCTATTATAATTATGTTTGCAACCGATTTATTTTAAAAATAAACAAGTCTAATACAACCAATAATCATAAGATACGGGCTTA